GTCAGAGGGAAGGGAGCAAACCTCAGTGGTGCACATGCATGCTCACACACGGGGCGGGGAGCCTGGGGACTGAGAGAGGGAGGCCAGGCCCCAAAGGAGGCTTCCTAGTATGTGGCTCCCTTGGTAGCGATAGGGGCTCATGGCTGCACAGAGAGGGCCAGCAGCTCACCCAGGGGACCTCAGGGGCACGGGCAGGGCCTGGAGGAGGGGAGACCGTGGGAAGGAGTGCTTCATGGGCACAGGAGGATTGAGTGGGGGTGGGGGGTGGGGTGTTGCGGGGGGTGGGGAGATGGCCTTGGAAAGCGGGGCAGTTTCAAGTCACCATAGCGGGGCTACGGGACACTGTGTCCAGGACCAGAGTTCCCAGGCCACTGTCCCAGCAGTGTCTGAGAGGAGGGAGTGCTTAACCTTGAGTCCCAGCTCCGCCCCAATCCCTGGGGTACGCGGATTGTGAGGGGCTGGTATGGCCTTTTCAGGCCTCCATCCTCATGGTCCTTGTGGTCAGCCAGTGACATCACGTGCGTGGGTCTTATGTCACGACGCAGGCTGCCCTCTGACCAATCAGGGGCTGGCCGGTGGGCCCTCTGGGCCAGCAGGAGCGGCATGTTAGCATTATTAACATCTAGGGCTAGGCCACGCCCCCAAGCACTCCGCTGGCCCGTTACCAAGGCAGCGGGGACACAAGGCACTTCATAGGCCCCAGTGCCAGCGCCATGTTCTCTCATCTACCTCGCTGGCGCCTCTGGGCACCCGGAAGCGCTAAGTCAGCGGCCACAGCAACAGCGACTGCCAGCATGGCTTTTGCAGGGGCCAGCCTTGGCGGCGGCGGCGGCACGGGCCTGGGGTCCGAGGCCAGCGACTTCCTGGCTCGCTACCGGCTGGTGTCCAACAAGCTGAAGAAACGGTTCCTGCGGAAGCCGAACGTGGCCGAGGCCGGGGAGCAGTTCGGGCAGCTGAGCCGCGAGCTGCGCGCCCAGGAGTGCCTGCCCTACGCGGCCTGGTGCCAGCTGGCGGTGGCGCGCTGCCAGCAGGCGCTCTTCCACGGGCCCGGCGAGGCGCTGGCGCTCACCGAGGCCGCGCGCCTCTTCCTGCGGCAGG